GCATAGGGTCACTATGAGTTGCTGTAAACTTGATGGTGCATAATAACTATATTAATTTCCCTAGATTGAAGCAAAGGAGACCTGCTGGTACAATCACTGTCAACTGAAAGATGGGGTGAAAGGTGGCTGAAAAGACCTAGTGATGAAGTCCCATAAGGATTATAACCAGGAAAGCTGTATGGGGGAGTTGTGTGCTGTTCAGTAGTGTTACCATGAGTCAGAAGCAACTCAAGGGCACACAGCAAGGTCAGATTATGGCATACCAACTAAAGGAATCTTTTTTTTTTTGTTGGATTATGATGACAACCACCATTGTTTATTTAGTGAGAATCAACTGTGTGCCAGGCATTTGTCTTAATTACATGCATCAGTTCTTTCAATCCTTACAGCAACCCTATGAGAGAAATATTGGCTTCATTTTGTGAATGAGAATACTGAAACTAGGAAGGTATCTTCAATTGGACAAAGTCAAACCATAAGCGAAGCTGGATTTGACCCTAGAACTTTTATTATAAAATCCACGGTGCTACCTGGAAGTTTGACAGTTCTATCCTACCAGCTGCTCTGCAGGAGAAATATGAGACAATCTGCTCTCACAAATATTTACAGCTTTCAAACTCTAAGAGACAGTTCTGTTCTGCACTTAAAGCCTCTGTGAGTGAGCATTTACAGTGGGAAGTTGTTGTAACTCTGATAAATTTGAATTTGTGTTAAGATCTCCCTGCTAATGACCAAATTATTAAAAATATAAACCATTCAATAGAGACTTCATGAGAAATGTGTTCCTCACATAAATGGTTGCTCCCATTACATTGTTATTGTTAGGTGACATCAGTTCCAACTACTGGTGTCAACAAATACAATACAACAAAGCCCTGTGGGTCCTACGCTGTCCTCAGTCACAATTGTGTTTGAGCTCATGGTGGCAGCCTCTTGTTCAGTCCATCTTGTGAAGCCCTCTGTTTTGCTGATTCCTACCTTTCTCAGCATGATGTTCTTTTCCAAGGTTTGGCTTCTCCTGCAAATATGCCCAGTGTAAGTGTGCTAAAATGTCATCATTCTTGCCTCTACGAAGCACCTTGTTTTAACTTCATTCAAGACAGACTTTTTTTTTTCCTTTTGGCATGTCCACAGGTATTCACTACTCTTCTCCAACACTGCAATTTAAAGCCATTGATTCTTCTTCTGTCATCCTTGTTCATTACTCAACTTTCAGATGCATAGGAAGCAATTGAAAATACCATGGCTTGGATCAGGTGCACTTTGGGCTTTAAACTGACATTCTTGGCTCTTTAGCACTCTGGAGAGATCCTAGATAGCTTTCCCCAATGCAGCACATCTTATGATTTCTTGACTTCTGCTGCCATAGGTGTTAACTGTGGATACAAGTAAATAAGTAATTGATAACATCAGTCTTCTCATCATTGTTCATGTTGTTGACTGTTGGTTCAGTAGGGAGGATATTTGGGAATTTTTTATATTGAGATGTATCCCATAGGACATCGTGCTCAGAAGGGTGGAGGGACAGCACAGGAGAAGAAGATCCCAAATGAGATGGATAGATACAGTAACTGGGGCAATGGAGGTAGAGGTGTTGGAGTCAGTGAGACTGGGTGAGGACAGGGCAGGCTTCAGAGCTGTTGTACACAGATCCACTATAAGTCACAGGTGACTCACTGGAACTTAACAACAGCCTTTAATATCTGGTAGCAAGTATTCAAGTCATCACTTTCTGCAAGCAAAATTATATCATATGCATAATGCAGGTGGTTAATGACTCTTCCTCCAATCCTGATACCTGCTAATTCCTCTTCATAGAGTCCAGCTTCTCAAATGATTAGCTCAGCATGCAGGTTTAAAGGTATGAAAAAAGCATAAAATCTTGACACATTCCTTTTCTAACTTTAAACCATGCAATGTTTCCTTGTTCTATTCTTTCTCTAGGTATGTTGTTGTTATGTGTCGTCGAGTTGCTTGTGACTCATAGCGACCCTATGTACAACAGCCCTAAACTCTGCTCTGTCCTGTGCCAATCTCACCATCTCCAATACACCTATCCCAATTGCCCTAGTCACTGAATCAATCCACCTCATAGAGGGCCTTCCCCTCCTACACTGTCCCAAGATAAAACGGATGGCAGGTAATATTGTCCAGAGTCACAGCAACAGAAATAATTTCTTTGTCTAATAGAAAAAGACCAGAGGTAAGAGACAGGCTTCAGGGAACTCTGGTTGTCTAGAGGTGAGGAATTACACTGCCAATCCAAACGCTGTTTGAATCTACCAGCTTCTCCAAGAGAAAAAGGTGAGCACTGTCCTCCGTGTGATTTAAAGCCTTTGGAAACCCACTGGAGGGTCAGCTGTGTGTCAGTTTCAACTCAAGGTACATAACAACAATAATAGTACTCAAGAATCTACCAGCTTTCCCAAGTCCAGTCAAAGCATAGTTTACAATCTTGCTATAAAGAAGTAATCATTTAAAATAAGTTATATAGTTTTTTTTTTAAAAAAAAAAGACAAGGTTCTTCTCCAAGTGCCATTTTCTTCCTTTTGTTTTGCTTTATTCTGCTTTGCTTCACGAACTTATAAATGAGGGGAAATGAAAATCATGTAATGCATTCAATGTAATTAAAACTGTATGCTAATTATATGTGCAAGAATGTTTCATACTTAAAGTAAATGATCTCTCCAATGAAAAGAAATATATTCCTTTTGATAGACAAAGATACTGATCTTAAGTAAGGGCAAAGATAAAGGGATCTTTAAGACATTTGTTTAATCTCTTTTCTCAGGGATGTATGTAATTTGAGCTCTGCCAAAGGTAGTCCCAAATCAGGACTATTGCAGCCTCAGCTTCACTCCTAACATGAAGACCATTCCTCTCATGGAAACTTTCTGTTCTTACAAGTTCACAACTGATCCTTTGCCATATGGTTGAACTGAAACACTACAATCTTAGAATGTTTAAAAGTAAGAGGAGTAGATATCATTATGCCTCTTAGTTTTCAAAAGAAAAATATTTTGTGGGGAAAAGGTTTTTTCAGTGACAAGTCTTAGAAATGTTATTAGTTAAAATGAAAAACATATGACCTAAAAAAATTGCTGCTTTAACCTTGGATTCATTGATAAATTGTTTGTTTTTTTAAAAAAATATTATCATATTCCACTGTAAAGTTAGGCTCTCTGACTCAATTTTGTAACCAAAGCAGCATCAGGGATGTTTCTGACAGCAAGTGGAGGGCTTCCCTCTGCTATGTAACAGCTAAAAATCACCTGGGTGCTTGTCTTTCAAAGCACAGCAACCCCGTGAGTGGATTTTCACATCTACATCCTAGAATGATCATGAAATAACTCAACCACATCCACTGGCTGAGAAAGGGAGGGGGAAAAGATCGTATCTTTTTAAAAGACTTCAGAAAAAAAAATAGAACATGAAAGTATTGAAGTACAGATGTTCCACCCTAGAACACAAAGACTTAGCTTTAAATGCCAACGTTTGATTCTTCATTATTACACTATTAAATAAACAAGCATGTGCCTATGTGGAGTCTATAGCATAGTGTGTAATATGTTGAACTGTTACCTGAAAGGTCAATGATTTGAATGCCTCAGCTGCTCCATAGGAGATGGTTGGGCATTATCCTTCCATAAAGATTTGCAGCCTCAGAAACTCAACGGAGGATAGCAATGGGTCCGAATTGACTTAGTGGCTGCAGTTTTGACATATAGATCTCTGGATCTCTCTAGCTATAGTTGCATCACTAACCCAAAGGCACACAGTTCATATCCACCAGCTGCTTTGAGAGAGAAAGATGAGTAATTTCCTCTCATGCTATTTACTGCCTTTGAAAGGCAGTATGAATGGAGGGTCAGCTATGAGTTAGTTTTGACTTGATGGCACATCACATCACAATGTATTTAATAAAGAGACAAAGGGAAAGAAGAGAGCTTTCCTACTAAACGTTGTAATTGTGTTGCATAATGGGCACTTTTTTCCAATTCCCTTACCCCCTTCTAATTATAATTCAAAAGCTCTGGTGGTTTAAAATGCCGGGAGCAGTGCTACTATCCTGAAAGTGGCACAAGTCCATCAGCTGCCTCATGGAAATGAAAGACAGGCAGTCTCTTCTTGTGCAACTTCTAGCCTCTGAAAAAACCTGTTAGAAGGTCAGCTATAAGTCGGTTGTAATTCTACAGCAATGAGGTTGAGAATGATGTGTAAGTAGTGTTTGTCTTGCTAACAGCAACATGGTTAGTTTAACATTTAACTAGTATAATAGTTAGCAATAATACTGTGTCTGTAGTATAACAAGCTATTTCCAAAGTTGTTGTTTGGAAAAACTTATTTTAGTCATCCTCACAGGAAACGTATGTTATCTACCATAACAACAACAAAAGCCTTCTAATATCTGGTCTGGTCAAGCCTAGTGGAATCCCTGTGACTGTGGCCCTTATTGTTCAGGGTTAGAACTGAAATCACTGTGGGCATCAATGTTCAGCCAAACAATAGGGAGGCATGCTCTGCTCAGTATAGTCTACCACAGATTACCCTCAAGGGTAGCCTTTGCCCCAAATCAAAGCTCTAAGACTGGAAGGGGGCTGGAAAGGAGGACACATGGAAGCAGGAGGAAATGAAGGGTGCTGAAACATCATAGGGATTGCAGTATCACAAAAGAAAACATCTAAAAATTGGTGAATGGAGAATGAATTTGCTTTGCTAACCCTTGCCCAAACTATAGCAAACAATATAAAGAATGATAAATACATGAAACACAGTGTGTAGGACTCTTCACTATCCCATTCAAAAAAGACAGCTAATTCCTTGTGTTGATTCTCGAATGCTTTGGGAATGCTAACTGCCATGTCAATCATGTGACATGGTCAGTAGCACACAGGTCTCTTCAGATAAACTGTGACAGGAATATGGTAGGATGAAGGAAGAAAATCCTGTTAGAGAAACTAATTTCTGTTTTCTTTTCAACTCCATTATCTGTATTTCAGAGGTTCATTTGAAGATTCTACAACCAGATTTTATACAGCATGTGTGGTAGAAGCTTTTGCCTATCTGCATTCCAAAGGAATCATTTACAGGGACCTCAAGCCAGAAAACCTCATCCTGGATCATCGAGGTTATGCCAAACTGGTTAGTGCTTTTTAGTGAATAATTTCTGCCCGGAAGTTTTAAAATGTTGAGTAATAGAGCTGTGTTCATTTTGCTAACATTAAAATTTTAGGTGTTCCCCCCCAAAATTAATTATTTTCTTAAAACAGGGTTTATTGTTACTAAATTTGCATCCAGTTGTTTGTCCTAATTATTAAAAAATATGATGAATGTAGTTGACTGTGTTTGGATTAACAATTATCAGCCTAAGCATGTTTGAGTGGATTTCTTCTTCTTGAGATGTATCTATCGAGCTAAAAGAACTGCACAGAAATTCTTGGTGTAAAATATTGTGGAAAACCAAAAATCATTTCAATGTTTTTCATGTAAGAATTCTGATTAGAAAAAAATGGACTTTGCAGGCAATCTTAAAGAGATTGTATAATAATAGTCTATTAATATTCTAATAATAATAGTAAATTTGATCAAATGTGACAGAGTTCCTGTAGAAGATTTCTTATTTAAAAAATTATTGTAGAAGAGGAGTTCTCTTATTTAGAACACTTCAGAAGAATTTTATGGCTCTGTCAGTAGCTGATTTTATTTTTTAAATTTTTTGAATTTTCACTTACCATCTGGTTTTAATAAAACTAACTCAAGCAACTCAAGTGCCCATCAATAAACAAATGGATAGGAAAGCTGTGGTATATTCACACAATGGAAAACTATGCATCACTGAAAAACAAAAAACTCATGAAATATTATTAAAAAAATTGGTGACCCTGGAGAACATTATGCCACTGTAAAAAAGCAGACTGACATGGGGTTGAGTGAAAATAAGAAAAGAGGGGATAAATAATGAACACTGCATTGAAACAGACGAGAGAATGAACTATCTAAAAGAAATATATGATTAGGTATTATTTGCATGGCAATAGCCTAGAATAAGAGGTGCACAGCAAAGTGGACCGGTGGTCGTAAATGAGAAAAAATTACATAACAGTGAAAGAATCTTTTTAAAGAGAAAAGTGAACTGGGGGGAAAGGGATGGAGGAAAATGTGCAACAATGAATGAATAGAAGTCAAATTTTTTGTTAACACATGTTAAAATATCAATAAAAAAGGCTAAAAACTAACCCAGTAGCAGTTAATATCTTTGTTTTTTATTTTTATCTTATTTTATTATTTTTTTGTGTATGTACCATCAAATGGGACCTGACTGGTACAGGAGGAGATTGTCCCTCCTCCTACAGAGAATCTGGTGCATTTGAAGCACGCACCTCTGGGATTGCAGTACAGCTTCTTGCCGCTAGGTCACAGCAGTTAATGTCTTTTTATTAAGTAAAAGACAAATGAAAGATGTTTAATTTTTTAAAATGATTTTTAAAAAATTTTAAGTATAGTCTGACAGATTGTTTTAGAGAAGGGAAAAGTACATTTTGTGCATCTGAATCTCTTCCTGAAAAGACTTCTAAGAAGTAAGGGGTATACTTTTCCTTCTGTCCCAATGTTTATCCAGGGATGAGCCTTTGACCCCATAGCTTTAACTTTAACAGTAAAGTAGTTGCTCAAATAATTGCTACAAAATGAAGGTTAACATCACTAAATCAGTAGAAATCATGTATACTCTAGGAAAAATAAGAATATCTTACTATTAAGTAAAAAAAAGAGAGATATTTTATTTCTTTAGATGTGTTTGGGTTTTGGTTTTTGTTTACTTAAGGAAATGTCTTCTTTTATGTTCTACCTCTGTTGCCATAAAAAGGAAAATAAAAAGACTTTCCGGAAAGAAAGGACTGATTTATTCTAATGATGTGATTTCCATCTTAGACTCTGGTCTTACCTTTCCCCATTTGAGCTGTATTTGATTAGAGAAGCTTGCTCTGATTGCAAAAGGGATGATTCCATCCAGAAGACAATGCTGTAACAACTTGCATGAAATTTTTTTTAATACTTACCAGTGTACTTCAGAAAAGCACCTCATTGCTTTTAAAATTAAGCCTAAATAGCTTGAAATATTTTGTGTTTCTTTTTTTTGTAAGGTTGATTTTGGCTTTGCAAAGAAAATAGGATTTGGAAAGAAAACATGGACTTTTTGTGGAACTCCAGAGTATGTAGCCCCAGAGATCATCCTGAACAAAGGTCATGACATTTCAGCCGACTATTGGTCCCTGGGAATTCTAATGTATGAACTTCTGACTGGCAGGTATGGACATTGATAGGCACCTGATGAGAACAGTAGCCTAGCAAACAAATACACACTTCTGCTTTTGTCACTAGGATGAGACCATCTTACAATGCATTTTTACCACATTTTCGTGCTACCTTTAATGTGTTTTACAAATGATCAAGAATCCATAAGGCAAGGTATAAAATGGGCCAGATTAAAGCAACCCAAATCAGTGTCTCAACTTTAGGTATCAATACTGCTAATTGTTCATATTTTGGGGAATTTGTAATAATCTGTGAGATATTAGAATCAAGTCATTAAGCCAGCAATAAAGCCAGGGAGATGATGTTATTAGGTACTGTCGAGTACGAGTCATGGTGACCTTCTGAACAACAGATTTAAGCCTTGCCCTATCCTGAGATGATAGATTTATTTACCTCCAACTATATGCTATACACTGCTAATCCAAACCCAGCAATGTCAAGTTAATCTTTATTGTATTTTCTTGACTATAATCTTTAAAAAGCAGATTGCTGGACCTTTTTTCCTAACATGTGGGTTCAAACCCCAGACTTTTTAGGCTAGCAGATGAGTCCATGCCAATTGTGAGACTTAGTCAGATCAACCAGACGATCCTTGATCGCCCCAGTTGCATCTCTAACACAGAGTAAATGGCCTCGTTCAAGCTGAAGCTGAAGAAAAATCAAATCCACATGAACCAAAACTTGACCTTAAGTCTATCCCACTCGAGTTTCAAAACCATCTCAGGAACAGTTTTGAGGCCTTGAACACTAATGAGTGTAGACCAAATGAGCTGTGGGAGGATATAAAGAATATCGTTCATGAAGAATGCAAAAGATTATTACAAAGGCTGAAGAGGAAGCAAAGACCAAGATGGATGTCAGATGAGACTCTGAATATTGCTGTAGAGTGCTGAGAAACCAAAGCTAAAGGAAGAAATCAAGAAACTAAAGAGCTTAATAGAAGATTTCAAAGGGTGGCTCGGAATGACAAACCAGACACTACAATGAAAATGTGCAAAGAGCTGGAGTCAGAAAATCAAAAGGACCGAACTTACTCCACATTTCTTAAGGTGAAGGAATTGAAAAACAAATTCAAGCTATGAGTGGCAATGCTTAAAGATGCTTTGGGCAGAGTGTTAAATGATGCAAGAAGCATTAAAAGAAGATGGAAGTGGTATACACAGTCACTGTAGTAGAAGGAATTGGCTGACACAGAAGAATTTAATGAAATAATATATGAGCAAGAGCCTATGTTGATGAAGGAGGAAGTTCAAATTGCTTTAAAGAATTGGCAAAGAATAAGGCTCCAGGAGTTGACAGCATATCAATTGACATATTTCAACAAACAGATGCTGCCCTGGATGTGTTCACTAATTATGCCAAGAAATCTGGAGGACAACCACCTGGCCAAATATCTGGAAGAGATCAATATTTGTTCTCATTCCTAAGAGTGCAGAAATTATCGAACAATGTCATTGATATCACATGCAAGCAAGATTTTGCTGAAAATTATCCAAAAATGACTGAAGCAACACATCAACAGAGAATAGCCACGTGTGCAGGCTGTGTTTAGAAGAGGCCGTGGTACTAAGGATAGCTAATATTAGATGAATCTTGGCAGAAAGCAGAGATTACAGAGGAATGTCTATCTGTGCGTCATTGAATATGCAAAGGTTTTTGACTGTGTGGATCACAACAATCTGTGGCTGACTGAGAAGGGGAATCCCAAAACACTTGATTGTGCTTATGTTAAGCCTATACGTAGACGAGGAGGCAGTTGTCAGAACCAAGCAAGAAGACACTGCATGGTTCAAAATCGAGAAGAGTGTCCACCAGGGGTGTATTCTGTCTCCATATCTTTTCAATCTGTGTGCAGAACAGATCATCCGAGACACTGGGCTGTACAAAGAGGAATGTGGCATCAGGATTGGTGGAAGATTCATCAACAACCTGCATTATGCAGATAACAACCCTGCTTGCTGAAACTGAGGAGGACCTGAGGTGCTTGTGGACTTCAATATGGATTGAAGCTCAACATCAAGAAAACAAAGATTCTCACCACTGGGCCAATTGGCAGCATCATTTGGATGGTGAAGAGATTGAGATAGTTAACAGTTTTAATTTGCTTGGCTCCACAGTCAACTCTCTTGATACCAGCAGCCAGGAAATCAAGAGACAAATTACACTGAGAAAGTCGGCTGTCAGGGACCTCTCCAGAGTACTGAGGAACAATGATGTCAGGCTGGAGACTAAGGTGCGCCTGATCCGGGCCATAGATTTTGCAATTGCATGCTATACGTATGAGAGCTGGACAATGACTAGGGATGATAGGAAGAGAATTGATGCATTTGAGCTGTGGTGTTGGAGAAGAGTATTGAATATACCATGGACTGCTAGGAGAACAAACAGGTTTGCCCTGGAGAGGGTGAAACCAGGTTGCTTCTTGTAGGCAAGGATTCTGAAGCTTTGTCTGACATACTTTGGGCATGTTGCAAGGAGAGACCAGTCCTTTGAGAGGGACATCATCTTTGAGAGAGTGAAGGGACAACGCAAGAGAGGAAGACCCTAGATGAAATGGATCGATTCAGTGATTAGAGTATGGGAGGGGGTGTGTCAAAGACAGTGAAGTTGGCACAGGATAGAGCAGCATTTAGGGCTCTTGTACATAGGGTCGCTATGAGTCAAAAGAGACTTGATGGAACATATCAACTGTTTCTAGGCTGTGGTCTCTATGGGAGCAAATTACCAGGGTTTTTTCCTCCTGTGTGCTGCTGGTGAGTTTGAATCACTGACCTTTCATTTAGAAGCAGAGTACTTTAAGTATAATTTCACTAGGGATTCTTAGGATCTCTACTTCATGAATGTCATTGAAGGACAAAACTTTATCTCAAAGAGGGAAGTGGTTATTAAATAAGCTTGCCATTGAAGAGATAATTGCAAACTGGCTTAAAAGGGTGCTAGTATAAAACTGGAGAACAGGGGATCCTAAATTTATATTAGCGCATTGGATTACATCATTAGACAGTGCTTAGTTGATGTAGGGTTTATGATCAATTATGGTTGAATGAGCCATTCTGAGAAAAAGGACATAATTCTTAAGCTTAAATAAATGGGTTGCTAAGAGGTATAGTTTACTTGATGTCACCCAACAACAGATAAGGTAAAATGTGATGGAAGAAATATTCCAGGCAACGTAAACAATGTCCTTATGTTTGTTGTTGTTGTCTTCAAGTCGAGTACACCTCATAGCGACCCTTTGAACAAAAGGCCTGAAGCCCCTCTACAACTATCGACATTTATCAAAATTCATAGAGTTTCTGGAGGCCAGTCGTTTAGGAAGTGGATACCACTCCTGCTTCCAAACCTGTCATAGAATGTTATTGGTTGAGTCGCCTGCGATGCTTAGTGACCCTATGTACAGCAGCTCTGAACCCTTCCTTGTCCTGAGCCAGTCTCACTAATTCTGACACACCAACCCTCATTGCCCCAGTTACGATGTCAATCCATCTCATCCGAGGTCTTCCTCTCTTGTGCTGTCTGTCCATCCACCCTTTTGAGCATGATGTCCTCCTCCAAGAACAGATCCCCCTGCCGTGTGCCCAAAGTAAGTGAGGCAGAGCTTCAAAATCCCAGCCTCCATGGAGAAACTTGGTTTCTTGGTTCTTAGTTTTAGGAAGACACAAATAAGAGGTCTATGTGACTGGATTGAGTGAATTGAGGGTGATGATAGTAGATATATGGAGTCATACCACTGATGTTCTTGCAGGTCATCCTAGGGATTTTGGACTTCTTCCCTGGTATAATCCATAAATTGATAAGTGTGAGAGAAGGCTAGAGAGCCAGAATGGAAATAGTATCTTCAACAACCAAGGACAGCAAAAAGGCAAGAGGGTAGCTAGTAGCTCTAGAGGGAAATGACAGGCAGAACAGACAAATTGGACCCATTTCATGGTTTGGCTGAGAAGGGTGACCACATTGCTTTGCTATTCATTCAGTCTTTGCCTAAATCTCATTACTAATTTAAGACCTCCAAATAGGAATTCATGTTATTTATGAGGCTTATAACAATTAAGCTTTATTATTTAGAAAATTCAAAAATAGAATCTCTTGTCATGTCTTTTATTCTTGCAGCCCACCTTTCTCAGGCCCCGATCCTATGAAAACCTATAACATCATATTGAGGGGAATTGATATGATAGAATTTCCAAAGAAGATTGCCAAAAATGCTGCTAATTTAATTAAAAAACTATGCAGGTAAGCGTTCGAACCTACGTTAACATTTGAAAATGTCATAATGCGTAAAAAGTACATTCTTCACTAATTGTCATTTTTTTCATAGGGACAACCCGTCAGAAAGATTAGGGAATTTGAAAAATGGCGTGAAAGACATTCAAAAGCACAAGTAAGTGTACTTTTCTTTTACCTATATGTTTCAGAGTTCAGAAAAATCTGTTGTTTTTAACTGCCTACGTTAGTAGTTCTGCAACTGACGCAGTTAGTATACTGTTGTCGTTATGTTCTGAGGATTTTTAATTGGTTTGCATGCAGTGATTCAATTTGGTTTCATTCATGTACATTGTTTTATATAGTAATTCATATACTTTGTATTTTATAATTAATTACTATTGATCTATGCCTAATATTCACCCCATCTTTTCAGGTACCCATTGAATCTTTCTTATTCCTTTACCCCTCCTTTACCCACTAACCTTGGGGCTGTCATAATGATGTTTCCCTTTTCCCTTTTGTTAAATATTTATATTTATTTCTTTATAAAGTTTACATACTTTGTGTATCATACTATTTTTCATTGATATCATGTCATACAGTCATTCCTATTATGTTTTAAAAATTAATCACCATTGCACTATGCCCACCAATACCCTGTATTTTCAGGTTCCCACTAGATCTTTCCTATTTCCTTTACCTCCTTCCTCCACACACTAAATTATGTAACTATGTGATTTCACCCCTACTCTTCCTCCCCCTTAGATTCCAATACATGTTTTACTAGTCATACTATTTTTACAGTAGTCTTCTGCAGTGTTTGTCCCTATGACAATGAGTTAGTTCACTCAGCATAATGCTTTTCAGTCTCTCCCAAGTTATGTATTTTTCTAAATCATTGCTCCTGTATGCTGCCTAGTATTCCACTGTGTGAATGTACTACAACTTCTCAATTCATTCCGTTGTAGCTGGACATTTGGGCTGTTTCCACGTCCTTATGGTGAATAATGTTGCTATGAACATTGGTGTACAAATACCCAGTTATTCTACTACCGGGAATAAACCCCAAGGATATTAGAACTGAGACATAAGTGGAGATTTGTACTCCCTTCCCTTTTTAAACTGTTATCCATGTCTTGCTCAGTTATCCTATTTTTGTAATAGTAGCCTTATGTAGTACCTGTCCTTATGTGGCTGAGTTATCTTACTCAGCATAAGGCTCTCTAGACTCTCCCATGTTATATGGTATTTTACTGAATCATTGTTCCTTAGTGCATAGTATTCCATTATGTAAATGTACCCCAATTTCTCAATCCCTTCATTTGTTGATGAGCATTTACATTTTCTTGCTATTGTGAATAGTGCTGCTATGAACCTAGGTGTACTAAACTCCATTCATGTCTTAGTTCTAATTTCCTTGAAATATATTTATAGCAGTAGAATAGCTGGGTCTTATGGAATTTTTATGTTCACCTTTTTGAGGAAACCACCTGTCTCCAGCAGGATAGATCCACCAGCACTTCAGCAGGAGAAAAACAGTCTCCTTCTATTACAATATTACAGTCTCAGAAACCCTATGGACACATATGAAAAACTATACTTCCATAAATTTGAAAATGTGGAGGAAATGGACAAATTCCTAGAATCCTATACACCTTACCCAAATTGACCTAGAAGTAGAGCACTTAAACTAGTCCATCACCAAAAAAAAGAAACTAAGCAGATCATAAAAAGACTCCACCCTCCACCAAAAAAATTCTCATCTCAGAAAGCCTCACAGGTGAATTCCAAACATTCAGAGATTAACTATCACCAATTCTAGTTAAATTTTTAAAAAGGGAAAAATTAATACTCTCAAGTGTCATTCTATAAAACAAACATAAACCTAATACCAAGACCAGGCAAAGTTAGCACCTAAAAAGAAAATTATAGTCCAATATCTATCATGAACATAGATGTAGAAATCCTGGCCAATAGAATCCAACAGTGCATTTAAAAAAAAATCATGACTAAGTGGGATTCATAGCAGCTGTGTCCTCGAGAGGGTGAAACCAAGTTGCTCATTGGAGGCATGGATTTTGAGGCTGTCTCATATACTCTGGGCATGTTCCAGAAGGCAGTAGTCATTGGAGAAAGACATCATGCTTGGAAGGGTGGAAGGATAGCACAAGAGAAGACTGGATGAGATGGATTAACAGTAACTGGAGTAAGGAGGGTAGGTGTGTTGGAGGGAGTGAAATTGGCCAAGAATAGGACAGGATTCAGAGCTGTTGTGCTTAGGGTCACTGTGACTCGCAGGCAACTTGATGGCACATAACTATATGGAAGAATAATTCAACATAAGAAAATCAACTACTGTAATTCATTACATTAATAAAGCAAAGAATAAGAACTGCATGTCTTGAATTTTTTTGTTGTCTTCAATATCCATGGAAGCGGATTGCTAAATCTTTCTTTCTGTGGAGTGGCTGAGTGGGTTCAAATTGCTAACCATCGGCTCACCAAGAGTGTACTTAACCACTGTGCTACTGGAAATATCTGAACAGAGAATATTAATAGTCTCTTAAATAAGGGCCTTACTAGTTTTGCTTCTGGAACTTGAGTTAGATATATTTGACCTGGTGGCACTTAACTGCATTCAACTTCTCCCATTTCACACATTTAATGGGAACATTCTATCTTCTCTAGTTTCAGCAGCAATTAACAGTAATAATAGTACAAGGATGAAATGTGTCTTTTTTTCTTTTCCTCTGGAATGCTACTCTACCAGGATATTAAAAATTAAAGCTTTTCATGAAATTATTCCTCATTTCTTATACAACAAAACATTTTTCCAATCAATAAAAGAAAAAAATTGCCTTTGAATGATAGCTAAATCTTAAATATTAGAACATATCTTTGTTGACTGAGTGTTCCAAAATGAAACAAAATTCAAATTGGTTTTCATTTGTTAATCTTTGCTATAACATTTACAAGAAATATTCATTCCCCCTAATAACAAAAACTAATTGTCATGGCATCAGAACCAACTCATAGCTGACCCACACCAGTGGAGTTTCAGAAGTTATAAATTACATGGGAGGAGATAGCCCTTCGCCAGAAGAGAAGCTAGTGGATTTGAACCACCTGCCTTTGGGTTAGTAGCATATCTCCTCACCCGTTAGGCCACCAGTGCTCTTTCATTTGCTGTAAAGGAACTTATGTACCAAAGTCCTAAGAAGATCTAAGATGCTAGCAGTGAAATGTTTTCAAATTAAAACAAGCTATTTAGTAGTATTTGGTTCTCATTTTCACACAAGACCTGTATACAAAATACCTTTACTTTTTAAAATAGAAATGTAGATAAAGTATATGAGAAAAAAAATATATATACACACACACCTCCTCCAAGTACAAGGATATGAAAAGATTAATTATATAGGGGTTTATACTAACTCAGTGGCAAAGACAGGAAGAGACTTTATTTCCTGAGCTGGATGCCCTGATTTTGTCTCCTTAAAATATTCTGTGAAGTACAAGGCCAAGTGTATTATGACATTTATTAAAGTATAATGACAATTTCAGAACAAGGTCATGTAGACATCATGACTGAAGCTACTAGAATAAATGTGAGTTGGTTTCTAATATATTTTCAGTCTTGACAGTTACATTCCAAAAATACGCTCCTCATGGCGTAAGGTAATTGGGACAACTTGCAATTAAATAGAAAATAGTTTCATGTTGAAAATGTTTGCTAACCACTTTCCAATAATCATCTATCTGTGTGTATTGTAATGAGAAGATTTTAGTTGAGGTGAAATCCCTTTAACTTTCTTTATGGTTTTTGTTTTCTTCTTTGCTAGATGGTTTGAGGGTTTTAATTGGGAAGGCTTACGGAAAGGTACCTTGACACCTCCTATAATACCAAGTGTAAGTAAACTTTGCCATTCAGAATTGTATGACATAATTATTGGGGGTAATGCCAATCATCAAACATGTTCTTTTCACTGATTTATCTTTTGATAAGGTTAAATATAGATGCATCATATTAATGGTACATGCTAACAACCATATATATATATCTATGTATAATTCTATATGTCTTTGACTTTGCTAACTAATTTAAACACAAGATTTTTCAATATTTGTGAATGTTCATTTTCATGCCTCTACTCCTCTCTTATTGACTATTTTATAATCTAACATTTTAGACAATTTACAAAACTTATAAACTTTATTTTTTTAAATCTATAAAAAACATTAACAATGTACATCTAGCAATGATCAACAATGTACAAGGCAAGAATAATGCCAGCACTGATAATTATGGTTCTGGGTCAACTTCAGTAACCATGATTCTTAGTGATGTGGCAGTTATGTAATGATATCGTCATTCTTCATTTTTAAATCTCATATTGTCTTCTATTTTATCATAATTGAATTTTTACTTAACCTGGTTTTTGGTATCTCACCATGGCCAATAAGTAAGGAAGAAATGCAATGTTAAAAGTTAAGTATATACAGATGTAGGCAGAAGGTGACTTCACAAACCAACCTCAACAATTTCCTACTTCTGCCAAATTCTGTCTCATTTCCTGCATTTCAAATAATTCAGTCATGTCTGACACAGCAAAATCAGGGCAAAATCAAATTTGTAAAGTGTGAGCATAGTAGAATGGTATCTGGAACAGGAAAAAATTACTGATCAAATCCCTAGAAAGGGACACGTGGAAAGTCATAGTGAATTCATTCAGGACATTCCCTTATGAAGGGCTGCCAACTCTGAGCTGGGTAATATCGATTCTGATTCTGCCAGTTAAAGATATTTGATTGTTATGGAATTCATAGCCTTTGGTTCTTAGGAGAGAGATTTAGGTTTTCAACAAGGCACTTACCACAATTTTTCCTGTTCCAGCAGAACCACATTTTACAAGTTTTGTAAGCCAGGATGGAACCAGAAAGAATAAGTACAAAGCCGAACTCATTTATGCTCAGATAGTTCCTCCTCCTCTTTCTCATACTGCTTTGACACAATCCTAGACACAATCTCATTGCTTCATCATTCTCTAAAAGAAAATGCCTTTTCCCCCTTAACTCTGTCCCTGATACGCCAGGCTTTATGTTAAATAGCCAGCCCACTTAATGAGCTGTATTAACTTGACACAGATTTTTATTAGTTGCATTTATGGCTTCAGTCATTATCACACCTGTTTAATAACCTATGTTGCACAGGAGCATGAAGGCAGGCAAGAATGCTCTTTGACCCGAGGTTTTGAATACCTGGTGTGTAGGAATATAGCTCAAGACTATCTCCTAAGATTTATTTCTGTGCTAATATTTACATCATTCACAAACAAAATATCATTAGTTGATTTTGCTTACGGATGCTGTTGCATTCAAGGCATTTTAATTTCAGAACAAGAATAGAGTTGGAAAACTAGGTGGGATAAATAAGAAAGCTTTAGATTATAATCCTAGTCTAAATTTCAAAAGTAGGAATATTCAATGGCAAATTTTTTTTCCAAAGTAAATGTTTCTAAACATTATAGGATATGACAAGAGTTAAAGTATACATATTCATTACTTTTACTATTCCTCTACCCAAAAAAAAAAATGGACTTTGCCCAATGAATTCACAGAACTTGTATTTTAGAGTTGACTTTTCATTAAACTTAAAAAGGAAACACACAATTTAACAAGGTACTAGATAACACACATAACAACTCTCCTGGCCCCTCTAACAGGCACCACAATGGCCATTGTTGATTACTTTAAAGATTGGAACTCTCCTCACCCCAGGACCTTTGGACCATCAATTACTGGACTTCAAATAATGCTTTGTCAGAGAGACTTCACTTGCTCTCTTGTGTTTCTCCTTTATAATAACAAAAGTTTCAATAATTATTGATGCTTGTTACTATTTGTTTTAATCACATACTTTATTCCTTACCTGTTGTTGTGTACCATTGACTTGATGAAGTAAACTCGATAAGGCAAAGACCATTTCTGCTTTATTCACCACTGTTACCCTCATTACAAAATGCCACCCCTCCTACATAGAAGCCATTAACATATAGAGAATGAATGAAGGAGGCTTTGGGTTTAGTCTAGCTTGGTATTCCACTGAAAAACCAAACACAAGGAAACCTTTATCCTCCTCCTGTCTCGCCTGCAGGTTGCATCACCTACAGACACAAGCAATTTTGACAGCTTCCCCGAGGACAGTGATGAACCACCACCTGACGACAACTCAGGATGGGACATAGACTTCTAATGTATTTCTCTTACCTGCTTCTGCCTTGCTGAAGACAGCTTTTTCTGAGACACAGCTGCCAGCAAACCTGAGGGAAAGGGAGAAGATTAGTGCTCGGGTCACCATGATGCCTTTGATCGATGCTGCTCCAGAAACTACAGTGGCATTAGGACTTCTTGCTTAGATGACAATAGTGCTTTTTCCATGTTTTCTGTTTGAATCTAAAATAGCAGTTGACATGGTGGTCCTGAAGCGAAGCCTTTCACCTGCTGAAGAGATGTTTTCTATTATTGCAATGATCTTGCTTTGCTCTGATTTTCATTTGAAAGACTGTCAGAAACCTTTCTATCCAGTAAGAGTCCGTACCTTGCTAGAATTATCAACACGATCGAAGAAGAGTAGATTGGTTACAGTAGATTACTGCGGTACAGAAACTGGGCTCTTCATTTACTTCAAATGAGTGTGTTTTGGGGTGTATTACTGCAAGCCGGTGTATATACCGTGTGAAAGAGGACCACACATCTGTTGGTCACAGATTCATGTCAAACCAGTGCTAGAAATGTCACAATTTTATTTCCGAGTAGTGCTGATGACAAGACTGAATGTTACCTTTTCTTTCTGACAGATTTAAAAAATTGATATGACAAAAAAGCACAACTGCTATGAAATGTGAGAACTCTCATAGCAGGTATATATGCGTTTTCACAGAGGATTGAAAAAATATGCATGATATTTGTTTCCTTTTGATAAATTGGCATGATAGAATGGAACAAAAAAGGAATGAATACAAATCATTTCACTTTCTTTTTCAAAATATTGTGCTTAAGGATGGTCCTGAAAATACATGACTAGCAGCCAATTGGTTTTATTTATTATCTAACATACCCTCAAACTGAGGCTTAAAATATTCCCTTTTATAAAAAGAAACCCTTGGGGTGGGGGAGGGAGGATTAAAATTCATCCAAAAAAAAATAAAAATGATATAGGTGCTATGTATATCTTTCATCTGTAAATGTCAGTGTCTGAACAGACATTAATGCTAATCATTACCTGTGTAGCCAGAAATGCAGTCATTATCACAAAATTTATTAAACCAGACTCCTGTCAGATTTCACTTATGCCAAGTAGTTTTGAGTTGAGAGAGAAAAGGGATAAAAAAATCTGTTTAAACTAGCCTCTTGTCTTAGGCCTGAACCAAAAATAAAAGCAAAGAAAACACAAATTCAGACTTACTAAAATTTATCAAATGAGGAACGTTATGTGAGGTCAGGGGGACAAGATTAAAACCTGGCCGTGTATTGATTATCTTTTTAGTGAGTGAGACAATATGAACTCCATGCTCCTGAGCAAGGTAAGAAGGAAATGGAGATAAAACCATAAACCTGATTTCTTAAATAAAATTTAGCTAAATAAGAACAGAAATATTTCCATTCTTAAAAGTCAAACCACCCTGAAAGGATCAAATTTGAAAGCATCAAGCTGATTTACTTTTTCCCCATGAGGAAACGAATCCTCAATAAAAACTAGACATAGTTTCTAGTTCCTTGTTGGCAAGGAAGTTCAGTGTTAGTTGTCTGAGGCCATTTGGAGGTTTTCCTGGATACCTATCTCTGCAGATAAGTCCATAGCCTTATCAGCTGTCATCCATATTTGGAACTGTGTATGAATTCCGTTTACTGAATAGAGATCTGCTTTTCTAGTAGATCTGAAGCAAAACCAACCAAATGTAGAAATTTCTGGAGGGTGGGGAAGTTAAGTCATTATACCGTAGCCAAAATGTCATATACAATCAGTTTTACTGAAGACCACTTGAGAATATGATGTCTTATCAAATTATCAGACTAAGAAATGTTTGTAGAGTGAAATTACTTACAGGCAAAACATATACTAAGGCTATACTATACATAATTAGAATAGAGTTAAATTAAAACTATGATTTTAAGATAATATTGCTATTCTCATTCTGTTGGAGTTTCCCCATGTAAAGCATTTCTCAAAACTAAGTATTTTCTTCCCAAGCTATTTACTTTCTTTTACAGATTTTAGATTTTGAAGTTAACTGCTATCAACTTAAATTCCCAATATTATTTCTATATTCCTTCTGAATTTAGCTTTTATTTTTTTTATTTTTTTTAGCTTTTAATTTTTTATGTATATAATTATATTTCCAGCATTATAATCAAGTTCTGTGAAGAAATAGTATGGTTTAGGCATGGTAGAGGTTTGCTAGTTTATTAAATTTACCTAGTCATTGTATCAGAGCATCTCCTGAAACATTTCAAGTACTGCAAAGGCCCCAGAAAAGCCCTTACGGTGGGCGTTGGAATTATGGTTCAAGTCTAAGACAACCAGTATATAAAGTTCTCTTGAGAAGGAAGAAGTAGCATTCAGTACAATGTAACTGTAGGTTGTTTCTCCCGCCACTTGTTGTTACTGCATCTTTGTTCATTTTACACATGGCATTGCATTGAGTTGTCTAAAGCAATCACCGGAAACAAAGGTGGACTCCATCTTCCAAGAATTACTAACAGAAAATATTCATCTACTTTCAACAATGAATTTTAAGACTTTAAATCTTGTCTTAATGAAGACACTAGGGCTAAAATAAATTCATGGTCAGCTTCATAAAGTGCATCTCACTTTACTTTGGAAGTTTTCATATTCTCTCCATCTTAAAAAAGAACCAAAAATAAATAAATAAATAAACCCACCCAGATATGTTCAGAGAGTGTCAGTTTGTTTGATTTGTTAACTGACTTTCTTGTTAATACTTCAAGTATGAGAATAAGGGCTTTCTATGTGTCTTGACTCACAGGAAAAACTGGTAACTGCCAAGGAAAAGAACACAATATTTGAGATAGATTGGACAGATTAAAAAACCAAGAAATCTGGAAATTTGCTATAAATGTGTTTTATGTTACTAACTTCCTTCTTCTTAAGGTAGAAATCAGATCCATGTGGCATTTAAACATTTATTTTGACTACTTTTTTACAAGTGGTATTTTTACATACAATGATGGCATAAACATGTGAATTACACATGTATATTAATACATAAACTCAGCTATTGTTATTTGCTTTCTAAAGACTGAACTGATGGTGAACTTAAATAGAAAGAAGTCAGCTATAATACTGAAAACAAAGACATTAGAACTGACTCCATACAGTAGAGGTGATCTGTGCATTATCCATAACAACGTTTTATTTCACAATAGGACCACAGGCAAATATTTATGTAAATAGATATTTTTGTGTGATATTTTGTGGTACATATAAACTTTTTTTAGTGTTTCACAGCATTATTTCATTTTATTTGTATTGAATACTGTTTCTAGGTCCAAGTAGACTTGAATTAATGTCATTCTTGTCAATATTATTGAAATTATGTCAACCGTACTGTTATTCATCTGTCCCATAGTTTAGAACATGACCTGGCTAACCTGGCATTGTTGCAAGTGCCTTAAATTCATGGCATCCTATTAAAAAAACAAATTTGGTGTTATGCTGCATGACAAAGACAAACACACCTCAAAATGTTGTCCTTTCTTAGCTTGCTGCGTTTTACAGTTCTTTCTGCTAACAATTTATAAGCTTTTATTATATAATATTGATGACTTAATTACAGAAATGATGAAGTTGTTCTCTTATTTCTGTTAAATGTACCAGAGCTGTGTATCTGTTAATGAGATACAGCGTCATTTCTGTGAAATGTATAAATGTATGTGCAGGTCAAATTAATATATGACATACTATCAGTCTGTATACAGGTATTCCTGTTTTGCTAAGCTGTGCAGATTGTTCAAGAAAAAAAATAGTGCAGTCAAGTTCTAACATATCTCATTTTTAAAAATCTATTAACAATGGCTTGACCCAAAAGAAAAATTGGAAAATGACTGCTAACCACCCCTCGTTACAAAACCAGTGATGAAAAGGTATTTTGGTGCACCTCTCAACAAAACAGGATGTTTTCTCTGAGTTCTTGTATATGCAAATCATTTATGAAGCAAGTTGTCAACAGAACTAGAAAGTTAAACATTGAAAGTGTGTTGTTAGCCCTCCTCCTTACCTTCCCACGCATCAAAGACAGAGCTCTGAGAAGTTGGAAATGACTCAGAGGTTTGGGCTTTCCAAGCAAAGGGACATTTCTTTAAGTATCATCTACCAAATTGATTTCAACGTATGATGTTTTTACAACTGGTCAGTTCTTTTGTATCCTTACAGCTATGGTTATTTGATTGTCCTCTTACAATTTGTTCTACATGAAAGAGTCCTTTGTTAGTCAAATGCAACAACTGTCATCAAATGGTCATTGACCACTTGCACTCTTTTGATGTAGATTAAACTTTTTCATAAACTTAACCTGCTTTGATTTGCTCTGTATTTTTCCTGCAGCTGTAATTGCCGAGTGCCTGTTGTATACTTTATAGAGTTGAAATAAAAAAGTAATTACTTTTGAACTCAGTTGATTTTTAATTCCAGACAAAATCCCGAGAATAGAATTGGTATAGTAGAACTGAAATAACATGTATATAGCCCAAGCACCCTTCATAAAACAATATTTTATTATGTAATGTAAAGAATTCAATAGGGATAGTGTAGAGCTATCAAGTGTGAATAGTAAGGTGCTTTTGTTATGTGCTGTCAATCAACTGTGACTCATAGCAACACTATGAACAATGGATCTAAATCTAGTCCTATCTTGTGCCATCCTCACCAACTCCAACACACTTGAGTCATTGTAATAATCACTGTGTCAATCTCTCTTTTGTGGGTCTTCCTTTATCCTCCTGGACCTCCACCTTTCCAAGCATAATGTCCTTCTCCAAGGAATGGTCTCTACTAACATATCCAATGCATATAAGTTTCCTATCCTTACCTCCAAAAAGTGTCCTGGTTTCACTTTCTCCAGGACAGAATTGTTAGTTCTCTTTGCAGTTTATAAAGTTGTTGTCGTTGTTATATGCCGTCGAGTCGTTTGCGACTCATAGCGACCCTATGCACAATAGCCCTAAACCCTGCTCTATCCTGTGCCAACCGCACTGCCGCTGACACACCCATCCCGATTACCCCAGTCACCGAATCAATCCATCTCATAGAGGGTCTTAAGTAAATATGTTGTTGTGGTGGTGGTGGTGTACAGTTGAGTTGGAACCAACCCTAGCTGACTCTCCAGCAGGTTTTCAGAGATGGTAAATCACATAAGAGGAGATGTCCGTCCTTCTCCCTCAGAGCAGTGTGAGAATTTGAACTATGTGCCTTTGGGACTGCAGTGCAGTTTCTTATCACTAGCTCTTAAAAGGGGTAGTGAGTATAGTTAACTACTAAAGCCCAGAAATTCGTTTCCTGTGTACTATCACCAAACTTCCATCATCACACACTGTACTATTGAGTTCCCCATATCCAATCTCTAACATTCACAAACCATTAAAGGAATAATTCTTATATATATCCCTATGAGCTAGGAGAGAATTGTTTAATATTGAGAAACAGCTTCATAGATTAAAGTTGGACTAAATTTTTACTCAAGTTTGTTCACTTGATTCCTATGCCAATGCTTCCTATGTGTAAAGAATATAGATTTGAAGACCAGTATTGTTGCCATAAACCCAAATTTTAAAAAGAATTCTACCTATATCACCTTTTTTGCATTTGATAGCAGTGAATGATTCATAACTTAAAACTTGTTACAGCCTTAAGATTTCTTCATTATGATTCCCTTGTGTTATTGACACCACAGGTATGTGTACTACTGGATATTTTTAAATATTCCCTAGACATTCTCCACACTCCTAATGATTTTGTTTATCCTCATTATGTCATCTAAGTGGGTAAAAACAAACAAACAACAAAAACACCACTTGATGAAAACTAGCATCCAGAGCAGTTAACTATCTTAGGCAGAGCCAATAAAATAACTCTGTGATGACACAATTCTGGGGAAATGACAGCACTATAAACCCTCCCCCACAGATACAATAAGAAATGCAAGGAAATGGTACTTGACTGTATAAGAAATTATGAATTGGAGAAGAGAGAAAACAATAGGGTACTATAGACAGGCAAGAATCAACAAAACTACCCCAAGTTGCATTTGTAGGAAAATTGCTTCTTCTGTCCCTGCATCCCCTACTCCCCCAGCCCGGCAGGCCACTGAAGTCTATGAACTGGGCAGATGACCTTGGGGAGGTGAGAGGATTGTTT